GATTTTTATAGGCCGTTCTGACATCAGCTTGACTGAATATGTATTTATCTCTGAAAAGAAACATTTCATAGTTAAAATAATACAAATCCTGACCAGTAATATTAGAATGTTTATTCTAGATGTGGAGAATGTTATTTTGTTTAAAATGGTTATTTAGACAAAGAAAAAATTTTTTTTCAGATGTCAGGAATACATATTCAGTAAAACTAGTACATATCAAAACGGCTTGTCAGAGCCTGATGTAACCGCGATATTACGGGATTATTTCTTGAACGGTAGTAGACATACTACCATTCTTTTGGCAGCAGGTAAAGTCAGAAAACGTTCTAATACATGGAACCCGTTCATCATCTCATGGGTTCCTCCTCATGTTGATTCTTTCTTCCATCACACAGTAAATAGTGTTTGCAGCCATTTTGGATGTTATCATCCCAATAAATGGTCATTATCAGTGGCTATCAGTCCCTTAGAATGGCTTCAGATTGTGCCAGTAGGCTCAGTAGGTTTTTATCACAGTAAATCCTAACCCTAAAGTAATTCCTTTCCCCCCATGGAATTAATCTATTTACGTGTAATCTGAAAATAATTTCAGTAGTTCTTCGTGTACTGTAAAACTAAATAAAATGATCTTCATTTCACACATAATAAACCAAAAACAAGTCATCTCATATCCTGTGAACTGATTTGTAGAATCCTCTCCCTATAAATATTTATCTGTGAAAAAGGGAAAATCATTCTTTATTAAGATCCTGATCAATCGGACATGCAATGTTTGTTTTTAAAACCTAATGAGTAACGGACCTAGTGAATATGGAAATATTTTTTAACGCACAAAACTACAACAAAAATCAGAATAAATCATGAAATGGTGTAATTGGCTGTAAGGAGAATGGAGACAGAGGAAACTGAGTTTATTGAAAAACACCTGCTGCTGACCAGGTGAGCATGGGGAGAATGTTCCTAAGTCAGTTTCCCTCTGTGTAAAATGTACCCCAGCATGTTTTCCTAGTTTAAAGATCAATATTTTCAGGTTTTCCTATACTCTAAACTATGACAATCAAATCTTTTACCCCATTTACACTATCCTTGAAAAACCGATCCATGCCGAGACCGGTCCGAGCTCGGATCAGTTAACCAGGCCGAGCTCGGTTCTGACGACCGTTTACACGTCACGCTATCTCGGTTCCTCGACTCCTAGTGACGATCTGCAGAATTACTGCCAGTATTGAAGGAGGAAATCAAGCAGTTGGTGGCGGTAATGCACCAAAAGTTGTTTGCCAACCGCCATAAAACACAAGAAGAAGACGAAGAAGAAGAAGGGAATCAAGCAAATCAAAATGGCGACGCCCGTCACATTCAGAAAGTTATGCTTGATTATTACTGCTGTACTTCGGTGTT